TGCTTTCTTAAAAGCTTTCATATATAGCACACAGCAATGTTAATTATATTAATCATATTCATCACTAATACTTATTTACCTTATAACTGGAAGTTTGTACCTTTTGACCATCTTCCTCCAATACCTCTTCCTTTCCTCCCACCTCTGAATCACAAATCTGATCTTTCTACAAGTTTGTCTGTTTCTTTGAAGTATAATTGACCTACAGCACGTATTGGTTCCAAGTGCACAAATTAGTGATTCAGTATTTCTAGACATTGCAAAATGTTCAAAAGAAAAGCTAATATGTTTAAGGCTTGCCTGCTTACTGTATGCAGGACACTTTTCTAAGCTCTCGGTTGTGTATGAATTCATTTTATCTGTATAACTCTAAGAGGCAACAGTATCATTCTTCTCTTTGAAATACCTACAGAAAGGGCACAGAAAGATTTTGGAAAAACCATCTCTTTGAAAATGATCTGCAGATTTCAAATATTTTAGAGGAAATGAAGTCAGCAGTTTTCAAACTGTATTTCGGTGTTTGTTAGGAACCCTGCTCAGAGGTGTGAGCTGTCAGAAGATAAAGGCATAAAATCTGGGACCCCAGCCAGGCTGCAGCCCTATATACACTCTCTTTTGATTGTTGCACGTTTGTTTTATGACTAGATGACTTATGAGTCCTGTCTCAGGCTGAGGATTCAATGACTACTGCCTTCAATATCTCTTTTAAAATTGAGATATAATTGACATAGAATATTGTGTAGAGTTCCAAGTGTGCAGCTTGTTGATGTCATACATTTATATCTGCGTGTTCCCTCACCTTTTTTAGTTTTTTGTAATGTTTATTTGGCTGCGTCGGGTCTTAGTCGCTGTGCCCAGGAGCCCCTGCAATGCGTGGACTCTGGTTGTGCTGCGCGGGTGCAGTCTGTGTGGCTCGCAGGCCCTCAAGTGCCCAGACCCGGCGGCTCTCCGGTCGGGTGCAGGGGCGTAGTTGCTCCACGGCTCCTGGGATCTTAGTATCCCCATCAGGAATCGAACCCACGTCCCCTGCATTGCAAAGCAAATCCTTAACCACTGGACCACCAGGAAAGTCCCTGTTCCCTCAATGCTTAGCGATGACTTGTTTCTACTCTTAGATTCTTCTTGCCGTTTTGTAAACCTTGTCTCTCCTGCTCTGCAGAGATGACTGTGGGATGACTCTTCATGGGGTTTAGCTCAGTTGTGTGTCAGAATAATTTCAGAATTGAAGGTCTGTTTCCCTGTTTTTTTCCTTTCACCTTCTTCATTAGAAACTTGAGCAGTTCTTGAGACTCTGGTCGATGCAGATCTGATGGCAGGAAGCCGGGATTGGAGTGGAAGTTGTCATATCTGTTTCAGGAGTCACGTTTCAGTAAAATGCAGAAACAACCCCAGAACTGTTGCATTAACATCGAAGAATCTTTGGATGCCAGGAAATTTGGATTTGTAATAGAAGGTAGCACCAAACAACAGCCTAAATATTCAAGCCTGAATAAAAGTGTCCTTGGAAGACTTTACAATATGAGCTCATGTGACCCAAAGTATGGTTTTAAAAATTTGCTCTTCAACATGAATTTTCTCTCCTTATAAAGTCAATGGTCCTCATGGGCAGACTTCTGTTACCTTTGAGCATGCACGTAGTATCAGACTGAACCTTCTGCACACAGAGTTGGTGGGGTCGCCCTCTATGAGTCTTCTAGTAGCAGAGTTAACCTATCAGCAGAGGTTTTTAATAAGTCACAAACTGTTTTAGGGCTTTGGAATTGTTCATACCTGTGTATACCACTTGACACGTGGGCTAGTTTATGATTCCACAATTAGAAAGATCTGCATGTTACTGAGGGCATTTACTGTTGAGGTTTATTTTGCAAACTTCATATTGTTTTTGAAGAAGGATTCTTAGTTGTGTTCACGTTGAGAAGACTGGTTCCAGACAAAGTCAATGGATCAGATCTGACTAGGTAACATAGGCACTTTGGGAGGATTGTTTACAGCTTCTCCAGTCCTGTGTAATGAGCTGGAAAAGCAATTTACTACGTTTAATGTTGTTGTTCAGTCGCTCAGTTGTGTCTGACTCTTTGTGTCCCCATGGACTGCAGCACGCCAGGCTTCCCTGTCCTTCACTGTCTCTCAGAGTCTGCTCAAACTCATGTCCATTGGTGCCATCCAAATATTTCATCCTCTGTCACCCCCTTCTCCTCCTGCCTTCAGTCTTTCCCAGCATCAGGGTCTTTTCCAATGAGTCAACTCTTCGCATCAGGTGGCCAAAGTATTGGAGCTTCAGCTTCAGCCTCAGTCCTTCCAATGAACATTCAGGACTGATTTCCTTTAGGATGGACTGGTTGGATCTCCCTGCAGTCCAAGGGACTCTCAAGAGTCTTCTCCGACACCACAGTTCAGAAGCATCAGTTCTTCAGTGCTCAGCCTTCTTTATGGTCCAACTCTCACGTCTCACTGTACATGATTAATGGAAAAACAATGGCTTGATTATACGAACCTCTATCAGCAAAGTGATGTCTCTTCTTTATAATATGCTGTCTGGCTTGTCATAGCTTTTCTTCCAAGGAGCAAGTATGTTTTAATTTCATGGTTAATGTAGAGGCTGGAAGAAACTTATTCCAACCCCCAAACACTTTATGCCTTGAGACCATAGCTTATTCACCTTGTATGGTCTGGTACTTTGCTTTCTCTGTCAATTCATTTTAATCTCTTAAAGATGCTGTTGTTCTGCTGGAAAAAGCAATAAGCTAGAGCTCAATTTTTTTGTATGCATAAAATGCGTAAAGGAGAAAATAAGCCAGGCAGTCATTCATATTCTAGTATTAATAACTTTACAGGGCATTTCTTCATTCTAAAAGGGAAATTCTTATTTGAAATTGTTGGAAGAAGGGCATTGAAAGAGAAAAGTGATCATTGTGCAATGAATTCTTCCTGGGAGGAGGATGAATTGAAATCGTCAGCACCGAAGATATTCTTGGCTTGCCTTATCATTTTTCCCAAGGACCTCTGTCGTCCCCTTCTCCTCCTGCCCTCAATCTTTCCCAGCATCAGGGTCTTTTCCAATGAGTCAGCTCTTCTCATCAGGTGGCCAAAGTATTGGAGTTTCAGCTTCAACATCAGTCCCTCCAGTGAACACCCAGGACTGATCTCCTTTAGGATTGACTGGTTTGATCTCATGTTCATAAACAGGCTCTAAATGGTGTTTATTCTGCATTTTAGATATTTTAACTCAATCTTCACACCCACCCTCTATAGGTCCTATTATTTCCCCATTTCACAGATAGAGAAACGGGGATACAAAGAGATTCGCTGACCTGCCCAGTATCACCTGATCTTGTGGGATCTTGCAGCGCACTGTGGAGCTGTGATTTATATCCAGGGCTTCTAGCTCCAGAATATACTGTTGCATATTGATGTTATCATTATCAGGGGGAAATAGAAGCACAGAGAATAACAACTTGCCCCGAGTCACACAGGCATGAGTAATGGAGCAGGGTCTCAGGTTCAGGCCGCCTGCAAGCTGCAGCCCTCGTATCCTGCAGATCGCCTTTTCTGATCAGTCGTTTCTAAAGCCGCACACACTTGCTTCCACTCAGCACGGATCTCACTGAGACACTTAAGAAAAGATAATGGTAAGAACAGGAAAGGAGGAAATTAGCTTTATCATTTATTTAGCTTCCTGATTAGTTTGTTTACTTGGTTCACTGTTTCCTTTCATTTTGAGTCGATGCGGAATAGTGGTTCATTAAGAGAGAGTTGAATCCTCACTGGATTAGTTGCCGGAGTCAGAGACAACCTTAACCTCATCTAGAGCAGTGTTTCTTATCTTTAATGAGCATATGAACCCCTGAAGACCTGGTGAAGATGCAGATGCTGATTCAATAGGTCTGGGATGAGCTGAGATTCTGCATTCCTTGCACGCGTCCAGGTGATGCCGATGCTGCTGGAACATGATCCGTGCTTTAAGTAGCAAGACTGGAGTATTGAGCTTTTCCAAACCGATCAGAAAGATTTACTCCAGGGCCCAGAGTTAAAATGGGAAGGAAGACATTTTCATAGATGGAAGAACACTTAGGGAGTTTGGTCAAATCAACACTGGACAGAGGAGGAATGACCCATGAAATAAGATCTGAGCTACACAGGTTCAATCTTAGGATTGAAAGGACCCTTAAAGGTCACCTGGTCCAAACATCCCGCCGATGTTTGAATCCTCTTGGATCCCTGCCGGGTCATCCTAGCCCTTGAGTTAAAGAAGTATTTGCCGTGAATGGAAATAAACATTTAATAAAACAAGAGAATTTCAAGATGGTGCCTGAATCACAGAAACAATCAAAGAGCAAACGGCTTTTGGAAGAGCTGTGATGTCTCACGCAGGCGCAGACAGACGTTTGCCTCTGCGCTACATTTTTAGGGTCTCTGGATATTGATTCAGAAGTTTTAAGACCTACCATGTCATAGTAAAAGCGGAGCACTCTGTCAGAGGGCCACTTGGGCGTGTTCTTCCCCTGCGCGTGCGCCCCGCCGTGAGGAGGCTGTGAGGAGAGCTGTCTGTGCTGACTGGCAGGTGGGAAACGCCACCGCTGCCGGCTGCTTCTCGGCGCACTGACTGTAAACCAGGGCCCTTGAGAAACGTACTTTCAAGGATCCAGAATCCTGCAACAATAAACGCTTTACTCTCACTTTGATTTTACGTGTGCGCATCATGTCCCGCTGTTTGCGATTCTGTGAACTGGGGCCACCAGGCTCCTCTGTCCCTGGGATTCTCCAGGCGAGAATACTGGAGCAGGTTGCCATTTCCTCCTCCAGGGGGTCTTTTGACCCAGGGATGGACGGGCATCTCCTGTGCTTCCTGCATTGGCAGCAGATTCACTGAGCCACCTGGGGACTGGCCTGAACCAAAAGACACTTGTGCGTGGGGCCTTCTGACGGGAGCTGCCAGCTTCTCCTTCCCAGCTTCTCTCGTCTCAGGCTGGCACCTGATGGTTCTCCACTTTCTGTTCCAGGTGCCCGGGGACAGTGAGAAGCAGTGGAAGCCAGCCCTGGTTGTGCTGACTGAGAAGGACCTGCTTATTTACGACAGCATGCCACGGAGAAAGGAGGCCTGGCTCAGCCCGGTTCACACGTATCCACTTCTTGCCACCAGGTAGCCATGGTCTTGTGTCTGGGTGTGAGGACTTTGCTGTTTGAATCTTTTAATCAATGATAATTATTTCAACATGTGATATTACTGCTTCCTCTTGCAGCAGGAGCTGAGAGTTCCTCCAGAATGTAGGCTCACATTTTTAGCCACTTAGATTAATATCATTTCTGGCGATATACAGGGCAATACAAAGCCATTTCTTCCTAATGGGAAACAGTGACACCAGTGACATGGTCCCAGCCTAGTCACCTTCCTGGGTCTCCATCCCATCCACTTTGAGATGAACTCCACACGTGTGTCTACTCTTGAAGTTCAGGTAGAATCAAGTAAGGATCTTCACTTGGTGGCACAAAGAACGTCATGTGGGAAAGTCCCACTGTGCTTTTGAAGCTCGGTCAGCAGGAGACCCCGTAGCAAGTCCTTCTGCAGCTGGGGTGCTTCCCCTGAAAGTGGGGCTGCTGGGGTCTGTGGTCAGCAGCTTCGGTGCACTTTTGTTGTTCATGTGACTTTATCCTAGCTCACTGTGTGCTTCAGTCCCTTCTCTGAAGTCCCGTATCCTGAGCTCCAAAGCACATCAGAACAGACTTGCTTTCAGACCTGGCTCCTGCGGCTGGCTTTCTGTGTATGCTTTTGATGATGGGTTTGCTTTTCACTGCTCCTGCTACGTCTCTTTCTCTACCTAGAAGCTCTGTGTCCATAATGTTTGTGGCCCCTGCTGACATAGTTGCTGGCAACTTGGGGCCCTTAAACGTCCATAGAATGAATTATTGAACAATGTGGGGCAGGCTCTGAAAGGAGTTTGGTCCGACGGACAGAGCGTAGTGGACTGAGGTTTGGGGGCATCTGTTCTGGGTCAGAGATACAGTCGAGATGGCTTCTCCTATCTGAGTGGATTGAGATGCCAAACAGGTTATATTCAAGGCTCAGGTGCAAGAAGAGAACAAGACCCAGTAGCAGAGCAGAAGTACACAAAAATAAAAATGACAACAGTGACCAGAGCTGAAGCTCCCTGAACTCTCTCCTACTTACATCATGGTCGGTGATGGGGAACAGCAAGGGCATCCTGAGAGAACCCATTGTTGGCCTCAGAGGTGAACAGAGGAAGCCTCCAGGGGCTGGGGACCAGGCCTAGACCACTTAGACATTCATCAAGTCAATGCAATGAAATGAAACAGTAATTTAATTTTTTTTGTCCTTCAGCCTCAAAAATCTTGGCAGGATAACTATTAAAATACTATTCATGTTTCAATGAAACCTCAATAATCAGAATACAAGTATCCTAAGATGTTCCTGCAAAGATTAGGGCTGTTCCTTGGGCTTCGTTCAAATTCAGCCCAATCCCTGTCACTTTCCACAGTTAATATCCACACTCTTCATCCACTGGTGTTCAGGTTCTAAGACATTCCTATAATTGAAACCACAGAAAAATTAGACCACAGTCACTGTCTCCCAGTTACGAAGAAGATGTATTGGACTCATGCCTCTTGGAACAGTTTTCAGGAACAAAAGTTTAAAGAAGGTAAAGTTTCTAGGTACTTTTCAGGCAACTTGAAAATAAAACTTACCTTAACACATAGCGTTTGTCTCTCAGTTTCTGAGCATTCTGACTAGTGGAGGCTGCTGTTTCATTCCTGTGTGTGTGTACTTATTGATTCAGGATTTTAAACATTCAGTTCCTTGACTGCACTGGCCACATGTCAAGGATTCAGTAGTTGGGGCCGATGGCCGCCGTTTTGCGTGGCACGGATCTAGAACAGTTCCACCATCACAGAACATTCTGTTGGACAGCAGCGCCCTGGAGCATACATGACTCCCTCGGAATTTGTCCCAAGCCGTCCGTCAAAAGCTTAGGCTACCCGGGGGGGTTGCATCCCCCAGACCCTGCAGGGTGTCAGCACAAGCTGGGCACCTGTGGCTCTCTGTGACGCCGTGGGCTGCAGCAGTCTCCCCGCCCATCACTACCTCCCAGGGCTTGCTCAAATTCACATCCATCGAGTCGGTGACGCCATCCAGCCATCTCATCCTCTGTCGTCTCCTTCTCCTCCTGCCCTCGATCTTTCCCAGCATCAGGGTCTTTTCCAATGAGTCAGCTCTTCACATCAGGTGGCCAAAGTATTGGAGCTTCAGCAAATGAACTCTTACAAAAACAAAGTCCCCTGAAGGAGGGACGGGCACACAGACACAGTAATTGGTAGCTGGGTAGCTGTTGGTGGGCACCAAAGGCACCCATCAGAGACTCACCAGCCATACGGATGTCAGGTCTGCATTATGAGCAAAACACACAGAGAACCTAGAACTGTAAGCCTGTGTCCAATATGGAGACAAGATGGAATTCCCATTCCATGCAAACTGCTCATTTGGAACCGAAGATGTAACATTTAAAAAGACCAGCGTCCAGGAGCTTCCCTGGGGGTTCAGCGGTTAAGACTTCGCCTTCCACTGCAGGGGGTGCGGATTGGATCCCTGGTTGGGGAGCTAAGACCCCACCTGCCTCACGGCCAAGAAACCAAAACATAATATGGGAGCAGTATTGTAACAAGTTCAATAAAGGCCTTAAAAAGAAGGAAAAAAATCAGGGTCTGCCATCTAAATATAAAGGAGACGTGCTGGGGATGCCTGTCTTCCCATCTCGCCACCCCGTCCCAGATTACTGCCCTCTGAACTGCAGAACAGCTCATCCTGATGTGTGTGTATTAGCCCCGCGAGCTCATCCTGATGTGTGTGTATTAACCCTGAGAGCAATGATAAAATCAGGCCCGTAATTGTGCCCCTGACCTCCAGCTGGAAGCCCGGGAGGCCGCTGAGGTGCGGAGGCCGCAGTGGCAGTCTCTCCTTGCTGCAGCCCTGCCTGGAAACGGAGGAGCTGGACTCCAATCCTCGCTTTCTCTCCCACAGCAGGGCTTACCCCAGCGGTCACTGCACCTCCCTCCTTCCCAGCCCGCTCTGTTCATGCCCTGGGTCAAAAGCTGCCGTCTGCCCAGCCCAGCAGGGGATGCACTTTAGGGAAACGGGCTTTTAACTGAACTTTCGCTTGCTCATCAGCTCCCACGTTTGCCTGCATTGGTCCTGGCTAGCTTCCTGGACCCTGTACGTGTGTCTAGAAAAAGACTTCTGGGCAACAAACAGCGAGGGAGACAAGCCCTCCGTCCCCGTGTAATCACAGCGGAGACGCAGCTCCTTCGCAGCCGCGGGCTGGGAGCACGCTCCTGCCCTGAAGGCGGACGCGGGCCCTGCGCGGCAGGCCAGTCCTCCTGTTACTGGAGGGTGTGTGGTGGGTCCGGCCGCTTGTCACTCAGAACCCAATAAACAGGCCAGGTTGGTGGAAAGTTTGCTTTATTTCAGGGGCCGGCGCTGGGGGGGGGGGGGGGTGGATGTCTGTGCAAAGGCCCAGTCCTCCCCTGACAAGCTGTGAGCGCTCTCACAGACAGACTGGGCGGGGGCCTGCAGAAACCGCGCCGGCAGCTCTGACCGCTCTTCAGATAGGCCCTCAGCGGGCTGACGGGCATCGTCTTGGCTGTTTCGGGGACAGCTCATCCTCAGTTCCGGGGCCGTTCATTCTCATTTCTCTGGGGCCAGTTCTCAGAACAGTGGCAGCTCGTGTCCTGGGTCATGTCTGGTCATCGTGTAGCTAACTTCTCCCACCTGGTGTCCTAGTATCGATAAGACCGTTCGCAGGATATATCTCAGAATATTATCTGCCGCCCTCGAGAAAGAACTGAAGGCCCTTGACCATGCCTAGATTGTTCGTATTCAGTCTCTGGGGCTGTTTTCCGTTATTTTCTCATTTGTCACTTTTCTGATTAAACCCATCCTTCGACTAGAGTTTTCCGCACACAAGAGGCAGGCAGCGGACGTGGGTGGGGGCAGGGGCCACAGGGCCCCGCTCCGTTCCGCTCTGAGGTGGGAGGCCAGGCGTGGCAGACGCCCAGGGAAGCCCCGGTCCTCTCACTACAGGAGTCACCCAGTGCTTCCTCTGGGAAGGAGAGCTGCTCCCCGACCTCAAGCTGTGGTCCATCGAGCGAGCCTTTCATTTACTTCTTGTGTGTCCCGTGCACGCACCTGTGGCTCCGTGCACTTGGTATATGAGCGCTCAGGCACATAGCCTGTCTAGTAGCATTATTTTTCCAAAGAAGGGGAGTCGTGTCTTTTTTAAATTTCTTTTGAAGACCTTCTCGTAAGGTATTATTTATAAACAGTGCTGTACACGAATCTTATATGTGTAGTTCACTTAATTTTTATTTGTAGATACAGAGCCATATCGTCTAAAGTTTTATTATAGGTTAGGGTGTCTGCTAATTAATCATCCTGGGTAACTTTATCAGGAAGGCCATTATGTACCATCTGCAAATAGCTAGACCCAGCTGCTAATAAACCTGTGGCTGACCTTTGTGGAAGGAGCGTAGACAAGGCCAAGGGCTTTACACGGATTCTACCTGAGTTTGCAAAACTTGCTCAATTTAAGAATCACCTGGCTATTCATTAAAGATACTGGTCCCAAGCACCCTGCCCTGGAGATCCAGGCTCAGCAGGCCCGGGTTAGGAGTCAGGAGTCTGTTTAACAAGCATCAGATGTAGTGCTCAGAGTTACCACGTTTAACCCTCGCAGCCCTACGAGGTTTGGGTTTCATTCCTGTTTCACAGAGAAGTGAACTGAGGAACTAAGAGGTTATGTAACTGACCCACCGTTGTACAACTGGTGAGAAGCAGACCTGGAATTCTGATTCTGAGTCTGCTGTTGTTTTAAAAGATTTAGTTAGTTTCAGCTGCTCTGGGTCCTCGTTGCTTTGTGCACTGACCGGGAGCGAGTCCCCCGCTGCGATGTGAAGGCGCCTCTTGTGCTGCACAGGCTCTGGTGCTCAGGCTTCGATAGCTGGGCACATGGGCTTAGTTGCCCTGTGACATGTGGGATCTTCCCAGACCAGGTACCGAATCCCTGTCCCCTGCATTGGCAGGCAGATTCTTCACCACTAGACCAGCAGGGAAGCCCTGAATCTACCTTCTTA